TGCAGGTTTGTTGCATAGGTATACATGTGCCATGGTGATATGCTGCACCCATCAACCCATCATCTGCATTAGGTATTTCTCCTAATGTTATCCCTCCCCCAGCCCTCCACCCACCAACAGGCCCCAGTGTGTATTGTTCCCCTCCCGGTGTCCATACATCCTCATTGTTCAATTCCCAATTATGAGTGATAACATGTGGTGTTTGGTTTTCTGTTCTTGTATTAGTTTGCTGAGAATGGTTTCCAGCTTCATCCATGTCCCTGCAAAGACAAGAGGTCATCATTTTTTATGGCTGTATAGTATTCCTTGAGGAATTGCCACACTGTCTTCCACAATGGTTGAACTAAAGAAAAACTTTAGAGTATCTTCAAATTAAATTACAAATTGAGTTGATCCCAGAAATCTGGCCACTTGGTAGACCTTAGATAAGAAATGTTGGAAGATAGATAGGTGCAGGTGTATTTACCTAGAAGAGTAAAGGGGGTTGCTAGAGGAGAAGAGGAAGCACGCCAACTAGTGTGGGGATCTACTGACTCCAGAACAGTATCACATGGATATGGAGAGAAGGTCATCACAGATGAAATCCATCCTAAGTTAACTATTTTAGGAATGCTCAGTGTTAGTTGATGGGCTGTAATATTTATGTGTAACTATGTGTGCTGATCTGTGAAAAGTGGTCAATAAATCATTTAGACTTTTTGGGAAAACCTGAACTAGCTTTCGTGTAAGCATCATAATGCATGACGCAGCTTCTTCTGCATATGAGTTGAAATTCCTGTAGATGGGAAGAACTCACCAAATGAAAGTCTTGGAGAAAAAAAGATGGAGAGAGACAAGAACAACTAAGGTAAATAAAGAGAAATGACCTAAATTCAGAAGCTGTATATAAATATATGTAGGTGTAAGATCATATTTAACATTTATTTTCTTTATAATATTCTATTTCAAAACTTTAAAAATAGGCTGGGCATGGTGGTTCATGCCTATAATCCCAGCACTTTGGGAGGCTGACACAAGCTGATCACAAGGTCAAGAGATCGAGACCAACCTGGCTAACATGGTGAAATCCTGTTTCTAATAAAAATACAAACATTAACTGGGCATGGTGACATGCACCTGTAGTCCCAGCTACTCTGGAGGCTGAGGTAGGAGAATCGCTTGAACCCAGGAAGCAGAGGTTTCAGTGAGCCGAGATCGCGCTACTGCACTCCAGCTTGGCAACAGAGTACAACTCTGTCTGAAATAAATAAATAAATAAATAAATAAATAATTGTAAACCAAAAATTATTCAACCCTAAGAACAGAAACCCAAGTCATTTGTGACTTTACTCAATAAAAAATGTATATGCAACAAAACGTCAGTGATTGGTGATCCAGGGGTGATTCAGTAGTTTAAAAACATTATCTCAAATGCTTCTTTATCTCTGCATTCTAACAACATTGACTTTTCATCCTTTGATAGGACAACAATATGACTGCTAAAAATCTAAGCATTGCACCCATATCCTGCCAACATGGATGACGTAAACTCTGTCTCCATGACTGTCTTCTTCATTAACAAAGAAACTACTTCCCGAAATCTCTCAGCAGATTTCTTTTTCTTTTCTTTATAAATATAACCTTTGTTAAAACCAGTTCTTTAATTTTTGAAATGTTTTTATTTATTTTTAATTGACAAATAGTTGTATAGATTTCTGGGGTACATGTGATGTTTTGATCTATGTATACATTGTAGAAAGATTCAGTCAAGCTAATTAACACATTCATCGCCTCACAAATATTATTTTTTAGTGCGATATGAATGTTAAAACCTGCTATTTTAACATTTTTGAAATATATAAGACATTATTTTTAACTGTGGTCATGATGCAGTGCAATGTGTCAGTGAAGCAACATTTCTCCATTCTGAGATTTAGTCCTATTTAATTAACATTTTTCCTGTTCTTTTCCCTTTGCCTTTCTCTCAGCCACTAGTACGCACCTTTCTACTTTCTGTTTCTATGAAATCAATTTATTTTAGATTCCACATGTAAGTGAAATGGTATAGTATTTGTCTTTCAGTTATTTCAATTAGTATTATGCCCTGCAGTTTCGTCCATGTTGTCAGGAACGACAAAATTTCCTTCTTTTTTGAGGCTATATACTATACTGTTGGTAGGGATGTAAATTAGTACAGCCATTTTGGCAAATAATATGAAGTTACTCAAAAAACTAAAAATAAAATGGCTCTATGATTCAGCATCCCCACTCCTGAATATATATCCCAAAAGTTAAAATCTGTATGTCAAAGATTTATCTACATTCCCATGTTTATTCCAGCATTATTCACAAGGGCCAAGATACAGAGGCAAACTAAGTGTTCATCGACAAATGAATGAATAAAGAAAACATGGCGTGAATACCTAGAAAACTCATATCACTACTGTTACAACATTGACTATGTGACCATCAATAACAGAAAGGGAGGTTAGGAAAGGAGTCATCTGGCTTAGGCAATTTTCATGATGAGAATAGGCAAGTGTAGTTATGTGAGTGTGTCTGCCACAAAGATCCTCTAGTATGCTTATGAAAATAAAATTAGAAATACTTCAGACTGTTAAAACATATGAAATTAGGCCGGGCGCGGTGGCTCAAGCCTGTAATCCCAGCACTTTGGGAGGCCGAGGCGGGTGGATCACGAGGCCAAGAGATCGAGACCATCCTGGTCAACATGGTGAAACCCCGTCTCTACCAAAAATACAAAAAAATTAGCTGGGCATGGTGGTGCGTGCCTGTAATCCCAGCTACTCAGGAGGCTGAGGCAGGAGAATTGCCTGAACCCAGGAGGCGGAGGTTGTGGTGAGCCGAGATCGCGCCATTGCACTCCAGCCTGGGTAACATGAGTGAAACTCCGTCTCAAAAAAAAAAAAAAAAAAAAACATATGAAATTAATCTGATGCACTGTATTAATGCACCCTTAGGTAATAAACTTAAATAAAAACCGAACATTACCTATATATGTGTGTGTTCCAAGCACCGTCTCTCTAGATTCACTCCCCTTCATCCCCACTACAGGTAAACACTCAGTTGAATTGGGTGTTTGTTATTTCAATTCACTTGTTTTTATCTTTATTGAATACACTACATATACAAGCACACACAATGTGTGTATGTATACTGTGTATGTTAAAATTCAAACAAATGTATATCTACATATCAAGAAAAAATAAGAGTATGATAAATTTCTTAGATACCAGTTGGGCAAATGTGATAGAATCTGAGAATACCAGTGGTTAATTAATCTAAGCAGAAACAAAAAAACACTCACATGCCTCCATTGGGAGTACAAGTGATAAACTCATTTTGGAGAAAATTTGACACTATTAATTGAAGATGTACATAAATTGAATCCTGCAATTCCAGTTCTGCTATAGGCACTAGAAACGTTTCCCACGTGAGCAACCGGAGGAAGAACAGTACTAATCCTCACAGTATTGCTTATTATAGAACCATTTGGAAACAGTCTTCATTCTTTCAGGTGAAGAATGAATAAATAATAATGGATAAATAATAATTCATATACAAATGCAGATAGCTCTATCTCGTCCATTTTCACTGCTTTGAAAATGAATGAAATGGAGCTATCTACAATTGTGTATGAATCTCACACGGAGAGTATTGAACAAAATCCAATTGTACAGAATTTAATACAATATGCTTTGTAACATTTAAATACATCAAAGTGCTATTATGTATCAGTTTCATAGCAAACAAGTATGAAAGAGAAGGCATCATCTAAAGTAGTTTAAGAGAGCTGTGATTGGGAAGAAGTGATCAAAAATGTTATATTTTTTTTTTCCTAGAAGAGATAGTGTAGTTAGGAAAAGCATAAAAGAGATGAGGAGAGGAAACTTATCCCTAGATAGTCACATATTGTTCATTCTGATAATTTGCCAGACTCATATATGGACGGGTTGATATGAGTACATGTCACATCTTTTCATGGGGACTATAAATCAGCAAGGAGTGAGCTCACATGTGCGCACACACAAACACACCCATATTAATTTACTGGGTTTTTTTTTAGTCAGCATTATCAAAAAGAATGATGATCCCTATGAACAAATGGAGATGTAGCATATTTGGTGGGTAATAATTTAAATATAAATTAAATACCTAAAATTGTATTTTTATGCAAATTATTTTGGTCCTTATTTCAATTACCTTTTACTTGGGGAAAAACACTCGAGACATCGTTCAAAATAATAATGTATTGAAATACTTTATTTTTGGAGCAATTTATGTTTATAGCAAAACTGCGCGGAAAGTACAGAGCTGCCATGTACCTTCTGTGACCACCCATGTACATCCTTCCCCATTATCAGCATCCCCCACCAGAGTGGTACAGGTGATACACTGATGAACACATCATTATTACCCAACATCAACCGTTCACCTTAACATTCACTCTCAGTGTTGCTTGAGCTATGAGTTTGGAGAATTGTACAATAGTACAATTGAAATTAATGAAATTAATTGTAGTATCAGACAGAGTAATTGCACTGCCCTAAAAATCCTCTGTGCTCTGCCTGTTCATCCCTCCCTGCCTCTTAATCTCTGGCAACCATAGACCTTTTTACTCTCTCCATAGTTTTACCTTTTTCAGAACATCATAGTCAGTAGTAGGAATCATACAGCATGTAGCCTTTTCAGATTCGTGTCTTTCACTTACTAATATGCATCTCAGCTACCTCTATGTCTGATCAGACTTTTTAACACATTTCTTTTTAGCACTGTATACTATTCCATTATCTGGATACACCACAGTTTATTTATCCGTCCTTTTACTAAGGACATTCTGATTGCTAACTGTTTTTCATAATTCTTTGGTTTCATCTGATGGTTCTTCTGTTTTGCTTGCTGTTGGTCAGGCTGGCATTATGGTCATGCCTGGCAGTGTGGCACAGGCTGCCAGTCGGGAACTCAGTTCTAACTGAGGGACAGTTTCCTTGGGTTTATGGAAGTCCCTCGTGTGGTTGCATGTACTTCCTCACTGGGTGATTTTAAAGACCTCTTCTGAGTTCTAAATATGGATTTTTGAATCTTTTAATAGCCATACTATATTATCCCTTCAGAAATGTCTATACTGCTGCATCCTAGAATCTCAGTATTATACTGTGAGGCAGGTCTTTCTCTGCATTTGCCTGAGAGTTAGTAGCTGTGGAATAAAGCTGTTACAATTCATAGAAGATTTTTGTCTCTCCAAAAGACTCTATGAAGCATATCCTTAGGAACTTTAGCGCACACATTCTAGGATGTAACCACCATTAGTATTTCGGAATTTGTTATAAAGAGTAAGATAGCCACACACTTGACTTCATCTTGATCCTAAGCATTTTTTTAAAAAAACTGGCAGCACCCTAGATTTCATTTCTTCCTCAAGGCTGTTTATTACTTTGAGTATTTTTTTTTTTTTTGCCAGGTGAAAAGCCTGGTAACAACAAACAGTTTTATTTTCCAACCATACAAGTTATGTTGGAGAAATTTCCAGAAGATTCGCCTGTAAACTGAACCGTTCCTTTTTCAGGTCATTCTTTACATATGTTTTCTAACAGACAGTGAACATAAGCCAAATGACAACTTTCTGCCTAGAAACCTTTTTTATTTTTTTGGTGACAGCATCTCACTTTGTCGCCCAGGCTGGAGTACAACCATGCGATATCAGCTCACTGCAACCTCCTACCGGGTCCAAGTGATTCTCCTGCCACAGCCTCCCAAGTAGCTGGTATTATAGGAACCTGCCACCACGCCTGGCTAATTTTGGTATTTTAAGTAGAGACAGGATTTCACCGTGTTAGCCAGGATGGTCTCTATCTCCTGACCTCGTGATCTGCCTTCCTTGGCTTCCCAAGTGCTGGGATTACAGTCGTGTGTCACTGCTCCTGGCCTGGAAAGACATTCACATTCAAAAGCCCATTTGGAACTTTTTCCATCTTTATTTCTTCATGCTAGTATATCACATGATTACTATTTTATCAAAACCCCAATATCTACTCCCCCATTCTCTTTCTAGCCTTCTCCCTGCCCAGCTGTAACTGAGATCCAAAGTCAATGCCTTTTTCTGTTTGTCTGTTTGTTTAAATTTTTGTTACAGCAGCATCCTACACCCAAGTGCTAATTTCTGGTTCAATTATCGATTATATAACACTGCCCCCTGCCAGCTTGTCTACTTAAAACAAGAATAATTCATGGAATTTCATGATTCTATGGGAAGATCAGGTGGCTTTCTTCCTTCGTTTGGTGTTGGCTGGGATACATAGATGCCCGGAAGGTCTCAAATGTCCTGAAGGTCCCAAAGAGGGCTGGAGTTTGGAGTGCAAATTCATCTGCGGGAGGAAGTCTCAGCTGTCTTTAATGTGGGTCTCCCCATGTGGCTGCTTGACCTTCTTCACACCATGGTGGCCTTTTTGAAGAATTACTGCCATGAAGACTTTACCTGTAGATCTCTCTGGACATACTGTCTGAAATTAGAGAGTGTAAATTATGCTGCTTAGCTTATTCAACAAATCTAAGGACAATATCAAATTTGAGGGAAGAGGAAATAGACATCACCTTTCAATAGGAAGAGTGGCAAAGGAGTTTCGCCAATTTTATTTCACCACAGAATAATCTGTCTGCAAACTTGGGAACCTCCTAGACCTAAAAAACAAACAAACAAAAAAACCTTGATGGGCTCTTGTGCTACAAACTATTTATACTTACAAATTTTATCTTAATTCAGGTTTAATTTACATTAATAAAGTCTGAAGTTGTTATATAAGGCCACTTTTACCATTATTGCCTGTCCTGGTTTTGCAACTAAATTCAGTTTTCCTATTTTCACCAAGAGTGAAACGGTAGCATCAGTGCCCCGACGTTTCCAAGCAGCGCATCTTTTCCTGAAGCCATCTGTAACCCTAGATTCCATTCTCACCATGCTCTAAAGAAAAAGTGTGATTTTTAAATTTGAATTTATATTTTTTGCTTATTACCTTTTTTCTTCCCTGGTCCTTTGTGAGAAAATATTCACAATCTTGATTTTCTCCATTGGTGTATTTATTCCTGGCAAAAATATGAAAGAATAAAGCATTTTGAACCACAATCTGAATGTATCCAAATATACCTAGCTAATATTTCCCAAAGAAAAGTTATCTCACATTTTATCTAAATAAACAAGATGTGTCCCAATATATTCTCAACACAGAAATAGGAACTCGCCCTCCAGGCTGCCTTCTTTCATTGGAAGAATCTCCTCCCATTGCTTTATCAAGATGAAGTGCTTAGAGGGAGAGGCTTTTGGCTCTTATTTGCTTCTAAATTCCTTGAGTAATGAGGAAGCTAATTATTTTTTCTGAACTGTTTCTCCTTTCTTCAGATTATAATTTCAATAAATCAGCCATCCTAATGGTTACATTTGTGTTTCATAATACATGCCATTCAAAGACAAATTTTTCACTTATTCTCTTTAGCTCAGTTCTAAAAGAAATATATCAGGAAAACCGTTTAGAAAATTATTTTTGTACTACGGAATGAATGTACCTTTTACCACTAATAGTAAGCAATGATGACTAGTGTAATTAGAATGGAGGTAACAAATTATGCCTTATGGTTTTTCTAGTGTAGGGAATATTGACCATTAAGAAAAAACATGAGAAAAAACTAAAAGTAGGAAAAGTTTTCATAGCCACAAATTGATTGGAAAACAGAGATTGGAATAGTCAAAAGACAAGGCAAAGTATGGCAATTTCTTTTAATGTGCATTATCTATTTAGGAAACAACTGGACTGTGCATGTTAAGAGACTGAAAGCTCCACCAACTTTTAGAATGTCAGCATCTCTATGTCTGCTTGCACGGAAATATTCTATACATTCACTATAGTATCTGAAACATACTAGGCACTTGATAATTATTTTTTAATTAATTAATTAGGGGTTATACCCAGTCTTTGTAATCTATCGTGTCTCACAGGGTACCTCACAGAAGATCAATTGCTGTCATATTTCATTGTCTAAAGGACCTAGAATCAGGTTATGTCAGCTTAGCTGACTACCATTGCCCTAATGTTTAATTCCTTGGATCAGATTCTCATCCCCTGCAGCTATCATCCCAATAAAGAGGAACAATGCCTTCATTTTTTCTTATGCTTGGCGCTCTGAGTGAGGTGTTTTATGCTAAGAGACAAGCTGTGTTATTGCCACCATTATGTGGGCAATATTGTATTGGTTCCTGCCAATACACAAAATATCTAAACCCAGATGCATGGAAGGTATTTTTATACCAAACGAGATTGTTTTGTCAATCTTAAAAGAACCTGTAAAAACAGAAACTCAGATCTCAAGTCAATGAGATCAAAATCTCTTTAAATAATTCTCTACTCAACATATTGGTTCATCAGAGAAGTGCTTTGTAAGATTCTTCTTGAGACTATCAGTAGCAGTTATTGTATCTAATGGATTTAATTACAATAGCTGCATGAGTCATAACTCTGAATTTGGGGTGACAGAAATGTTTGGTTATTGAAGATGCAGTGATAAAAATTGTTTTTCACATTGGAGAAGGTTAAAATATTACTGTTGATAAGTAAATATCTTATTAGTTTCATATCTATTTTCCAGTTGAATAAAACGTTCATTACCTTTTTTACTTCACAACTTTTTAAAGGAGTTCTAGAAGTATAAATATATATATATATATATATATATATATTATATATAAATATATATATAATATATCTATTATATTATATATATCCTCTCTTCCAGCCATCCTCCTACCTCGGCCTTCTAAAGGGCTGGGATTATAGGTGAGAGCCTCTTATCTACTAGAATCTCCTTAATTGGAATTTCTTCACAAAGGGAAACTCAGGTTCTATACTACAACTTCTTTCTTTATTAAAATTTTGGATTATAAAGTGAGCAAAATTCCAATCTCCCTTATCTCCACACTTATTAATTATGCAAAACTATTGATTTTTCCCCACATTTTAGTCAAGTAAACTAGGAGTATCATTTATAAAGGAATATGATTTGATACCATGATATTTCAAAAGTCTTATAGAGGTAACTTTAAAAAATATAGACCATATTGCTATGTTTCAAAGGTTGACAAACTGTTGTCTGTGGACTAAATCTGCACCATCCTATTCTCACTTCTGCTTGATTTTGAATGGTTTTTGAGCTGAAAATGTAGTTTTTTAAAACAACTTTACATGGTTACATTTAAAAAATGGTTAAATAAGTATGTGCATAAAAATCTACAATTTGTTATCTAGGCCTGTATATTCTACAAGATTACTATCTTGCTCTTTCTAGATAAATTATGTCGACATTTGTTCTATGCATGTAATATATATAATTGACCTAGTTATGAAGGATATCAACATATCTAATCACAATTCCTTCATTTTCAAATAATAATAGGAAAATTCACCACCTAATTTTTCAATAATCACAGAACTAGCCTTTTCATATCACTTTGAAATTTGCTATAGCATAGCAAGAAATTTTATATCAGTGTAATAACAATAACAGCATATTAAGTTAATTAAGCAATTTCATACATATTCTCATATCATTACTAAAAAAAAAAACATGAGTTAAACAGAGCTATCTCTATAAACTAATTTTATAGGTGGAAAGAAAATTAGTCTCTTTCAAAGAGGTTAAATAATTGACCCAGGGTTGTAAGTCTTGTAATTATTAGCACTCTTCCTGCCACACAGATACTCTTTACTTGACTTCATGATGCCTACTGAAATTAAATTGAAATCTTAGTTCACTTAATTATGCAAGAAAAGTAATCATAAGTTAGTTATGCGTATAATACTAAAAGTCAAAAGATAATGAATATAATTACCAGTGTTTTGCTGGAATTAATGAATAAATCACAACAATCAGGTCACCTGGTAGACAACCTAGTAAAATGAACAGTTATCTACATAACATGTGCTGTAGAGGATAAAGTACATTAATTGATTAATTAAACAATCTAAA